CTTTGTAATTATTAAGAGAAATAAACGTCCCGAGAGACGAAAAAAATAAAAGTCCCATATAATTATTATGATAAGACGTAAATTATTTCCGTCTTGAAATAAACGTCCCAATAGACGAAACAAATCAAAAGTCCCATATAATTATCATCAGAAGACGAAAAGGATTTCCATCGTAAAATAATCGTCCCGAGAAACGAAAAATAAATAAAGGTCCCAGATAATTATTAGGAGAAGATGAAAAAGTTTTTAATCTAACGATATTCGTCTCAGGAGACGAAAACCACTTTTTCCATTGTTCAGTAATAATCACAGCGCACGGCAGTACGCGCGAGAGACGAAAGCAGCCACAGTAGCATGCTGAAATGATGCTTATATATACACGAGATTTGGAAGTTTTTATCCAGACGTCCAATCGACATGGTTGAGATATCGTTGGAAAGGTCTTGCAGAGTGTGTCCAGAAAATGTATTCAAGCTTCATAAACGTTTAACCGGATTCTTAAAAACTAGGCTAAAGTGTTGCGAAACAATAAACGTTTTTTTTTGCTTTTGCATGTGGGTACACCCAACATATTTAGTGTTATTCTATAGGCCAATACAATAGGCCGCACTACTCAGTCCATGTCATTGACGTGGATATCAGTAGAAGGGTCTACTAACGCTGTCTTTTGTGTTTATGAAATATAAATATGTCATAATGTTATCGCCTGAAAACTAAAAATCGGGCTGCTGAAAATATACATTTCGGGCATTTTCTCAAAAACTGGTCAGTCGATTTTATTCAAAGTTTCCACAAATCTAGCCCAAAACCTTAGCTTTCATCTGGTATATAGCTTATATCTGGGAAAACTCTTGTTGTGGAGATATTCACATGGAGATAACTCTTGTTGTGCGATTCAAACTGAAAAAAGTCGCCTCAAATAGCGACCAGTGGTTTAAAATTAACTTATTCGTCTAATTTGGTTGCTTTAAGATATAAAAATAACATACCCAGTTCCCTGAATAAAAGTTGGCCATTCCCCGATTGCCACTTAAACTGAAATTCCCTGGAAATCGGGGGATTTCCCGCGATATGACAAGTTTGTGTGTATTTTAGAGCTTTTTTCCAGTCACATGCCGAAATTGTAATATTTTTAACTATTTTAATTGTAGGTATGTACACAGTATTTAACTAGTTATGCTAAAAGGGTTTATTACCCGCCTTTAACCTACCTGCGAAGACGCATACAAATTACCTACAGTTGTACATAAATATGTATGTATGAATGCATTTAGATCACCTAGTGCGCCGCTACTACTTACACAAAATATATAAATTGCGACTGAGCAAAACTACTTGAGAAAAAAGCATTAGTTTAATACCACGAGTGCAACACTGTACACGTGATAGAAGTAAAACTTCTTAAAAAAGCACATATGTACGCCCCATATCCGGTAGAAATCTTAACAAAAATAAACTACGAGACAATCAGACGAATACAGTTGTTTATTGTATCCAAAGTTGGTACCAAGTTAATAAGTTTTTATCATGTCTCATATTTTTTTTTTAATTTTTAATTTTGTCGAATACAAAGCATACGATCATTTATTTTGGAACGAATTTCCGTCATCCCTTGTCAAGATTGGTTTGCAGACAAACCGGTTTCGGCATTGTGCCATCTTCAGTGTCATTTTTCCTTCTGTCTGGTTCGAGTTTTTGTCCTTAATTTATGTTCATTTATCTTAGGTAATGTGATTTTCGTCGATGATTAATTATCTCGCACTGAATGTCACTCCAAAGTTTGCCCAAATGAAGCTAAGATCGAATACAGAGGCATGCTGGAAAACGATTAAGATGGCAGAGAGAATATACTTAACGTACGAATTGAAGAGTCTTTACGCCAAAAAGGAACAAACAAACGCAGAGTTGCTATCAATTCATTTAGAGTTAGCGGAGCTCATACCAATCGACTGCTTAATGGAACTCTTTGATCAAATAAAAACGCGCATAAGGAAAGACATGGAGAAGAAGTACAACAAATTGAAAGGAAAGCTCGTAAAGTTACAAACGAATCAAAAAGGAAAGAACAAACAACAGATAGAGAGACCTGAATTCCATGCCAGGTTCGTAAATCTTACAGAAGTTCCCATCAGCAAAGAAGAAGCGCGAAAATTGACTCAAACATAATATCCAGAATTATAATAAGAAAAAGGAAATCGAGCAGACAATTAATTGTAGATGCGGAGATAGCCATATCTATGCTGCCGAAAGAGGAACAGGAACACACTAGACACATGTGCAAACAGTTAATTGTAAAGGAAATCAAAGCCAAAAGAAACAAAAAACAGAGCAACGAAAATAATATAATCAAAGGTCTCAAAGAGAAACTAAAAAATAACAACGTAATCACGATCAAAGCTGACAAAGGAAACACAACTGTACTAATGAATAGAGAGGAGTACATACAAAAAACGAAACAACTTATCAAAGAAACCAATTGTAAGAAATTAGTAAAGGATCCTACTGCGGAATACCAAGCTGCAATAAAAGAGACTATAAAGAAATCTACAAAAATAATAAAGGCGAACCAAATACATACTTTGACAACTAAGAATCCATCAGCTCCTCCGATGAATGCACTACCTAAACTCCACAAATCAGGCACACCTATGAGACCAATCATACACCACAAATCGGCCCCAAGCTACAAACTATCTAAATATTTAAAAACTATACTAAAGGATAACCTTGGATTGCCCAATAAGTACACAATAACTAGTACAACGGAATTGATTGAAAAATTAAAAGACTCAGTTATCACGTTGGATACTAAGCTGGTATCATTCGACATAAAAAAATCTATACCCATCGATACCCATAACGGAAACAATAGATATCATATTCAAAATACTGACAGAAAAAACAAGAAACAGAGAAATCGCCGTGGAGATAACTAACGCACTCAGAACGACGTTGCGTCAAAACTACTTTAAATTTAATAACAACGTATACATGCGAACAAACGGGCTAGGCATGGGCAACCCCACATCGGCGATTCTTATGGAGGTATTCATGCAGAATTTGGAAGAAAGGTATATGGAGTGTCTTACGCCACAACTAGGACCGACGTTCTACGCCAGATACGTTGATGAGATCATATGTCTTATAACAAAGGAAAATGAAGAACAGATATTGGAATACCTCAACAAACAGCACAGCAACATAAAGTTCTCAATGGAACAGGAAATGGAAGGAAAGCTAAATTACTTAGATCTGACGATCAAAGTAAATAAAAACACCAGTAGTCTGCAATATGAAATTTTTAGGAAGCCCACAGCCACAGATACAATAATACATAATACATCCAACCACCCTCATCAGCATAAAAAAGCCGCCTTTAGACAAATGATCAATAGAATTAAGCAAATACCACTAACAAAAGAAGGATACAAAAACGAACTGAACGCAATATATGCCATAGCGGCTAATAACGGATACAAGAGAGATCTGGTAGAGGAAATCCGAAGGGAGCACAAAAACAGAAAGCCAAACAAAGAAAAAAATAATGACACAAATTGGGCGGTATTAACCTATACTGGAAAGTCAACGTACAAACTAGCAAAGCTGTTCCAGAAACACAACCTTCGCACATCATTCAGAATAAATAACAACGCAGGACGGATACTACGGAACACCGCAAATCGAGAAGACCCATTGGGTAAAAAAGGAGTGTATAAACTAACTTGCAAATGCCAGCATAGTTATATAGGTCAAACAGGACGGAAAATAAAAACAAGATTTCGCGAACATATAAGGGACTATAACAAAAAGACACAGAAACCGAGTGCAATACCAGAGTCAAATTTTGCTAACCACATGTTTAACAACAAATGTTCACCAACGCAAATAAGAAAGTCAGCGAAACTACTGCATGTACAACATAAAGGCCAACGACTAAGCGTACTAGACAATATGGAAATATACGAACTAAAAACATTCGACGGCAAAATAATAAACGAACAAACAAATACCGCATCGGATGTTATATTCGAACCCTTACAATTAATTTACGCGAAAAAGAAAAATGACAACAAAACAACAGGCATGGACACCACAAAGTACCACCAGGACAAAAATCACCGACTTTTACCTACCTGCAGGTAAAAACCATACAGAGACAACATAACGGATGTTAATATCGAGACAGCGAACCTACCAACCTAAATATTACCTGCTTCTGAAATAAAAAAGGACACCATGGCATTTCTAATAATTAATCATCGACGAAAATCACATTACCTAAGATAAATAAACATAAATTAAGGACAAAAACTCGAACCAGACAGAACGAAAAATGACACTGAAGATGGCACAATGCCGAAACCGGTTTGTCTGCAAACCAAACTTGACAAGGGATGACGGAAATTCGTTCCAAAATAAATCATCTTACCACCCTGTCGGAAAAATCAACCAACACCAATATACGATCATTCTTTTTCGCTTTATTCCGTATTCGAAAAATTATGTTTCAATGGATATATAGATTTCAATACATAATTTATATTTAGATAATAGCTTTAGCAATTTATTTGAGAAAAATAAAACATTTAGATTATTGTTTGTATTTTCGTCGATTTTAAATTTGCTACCCCAAAATAATTGCGAAATTCCGTCTACTGCCAGAAATCCAAAATAAAAAGCAGGACTTTTGCAACGATTCGTATGAATAAAAAAAGATTTTCCGTACGTTTCAAAGGCAGTTAAAAAATGCGTATAATTTTCGTCACGAAATTGATATAATAAATTTTGTGTTTCTAACTAGTTCAGCTTTCGTCACTCGAAAATTTTACCTCAAAGAGGTGTTTTATTTGATTACATATACAGCAACATTTAATTTTATTTCTTATAATCGTTATGGTCTCTGGAAGTAAGAAAAGATAAATAATAATACTAAAACATAATAAAATATATACTACTTTTTAGGTTGTTTTATTCATACACTACCTTCTTATTTATTCCAGGCGATGAATCCGATACCTTAGGAGCAAGTCGTCAAGGAAAAACACCAGCTGCTAACTCATTAAACAAAGACAAACGAAAACCTTTCTTCAAAAAGCAAGAAACTGCATCACCGTACGATGTGGTGCCATCAATGCGCCCTGTGGTTTTAGTTGGTCCAAGTCTTAAAGGATATGAAGTAACGGATATGATGCAGAAAGCTCTTTTTGATTTTTTAAAACATCGCTTTGAAGGAAGAATTATAATAACGAGGGTTATGGCTGATATTTCTTTAGCTAAAAGATCTATTATGAATAATCCCACGAAGCGCGCGATAATGGAGCGATCGAGTAGTCGATCAGATTGCCTCACAAAAGTTCAAGAAGAAATTGAACGTATATTTGAACTTGCCAGAACTCTGCAATTAGTCGTGTTGGACTGCGACACTATCAACCATCCATCACAACTTGCCAAGACCTCATTGGCACCAACAATAGTATACTTGAAAATAAGCAGCAGCAAGGTATATGAATGTCTTTATTTGTTTAGTATCACCACCTGCCCCGCGTTATATTTTATTTCGCTTTATTATATTTTATTTTCGCTTCGGCACTGAATAAAATGATTTGTTTAGTACCACCACCCACCCCGCGCTATACTTTGTAAATGAATTCAACACTCGCATTTTCTAGGCGCTCAGACCTGACAGTTATGTACATATGTATATATATTTATTTCAAGTCTTTGGGTACAAATATTCTTACGGACTACGTATAAATCTAAAACTATATAGAAATTAGCGTTAAAGTAAAACTAACATATAATTAAAATTTAGCAAACGAGCAATAAGCTATTAGTGAAGCTGGGAAAAGCATTGACATAGGTAGTTGATTGAAGTGGCACTAGGTTGCATGAAATCAACCACCCCTGTGCTGTAATCCGTCGTAGTTTCGATTTTTCTACGAACCGTAAAATTGGTATGCTGAAATCCGCGTTGTCGTATCGTAATTTCGAAATTCGTAGTCCATCTTCGAAATTCGTAATGTTGATATGCCTGAATCCGACGTAGCTGTCATTTTTATGTATTTGTCTGAAATTTTGTACGAATAGCAACTCGTGTCGGAGCGAAACAAATTGTTTTAAAATATCAATAAAATAAAGTGTGTAAACGCAAAAATATGTATGTAAGTAGAAGTGTGAATAAAAAAAAAATTATTATTAAATGTTTACAAAATTAACGGATCGAAGATCACAACAAATCGATCGCAATACGAAAAACTGGTGGAATGCATGAGGAAAGGCTTTGTAAAAGAAGCTAAAGAGGATGTAGTGGAATTTTGGGAAAGCGTTCTAAGAATTAAAGCGGCACAATATTTAGGGAAATGGAGGCCCTAAAAAGGGGGGAGCTTACATTTTATCATTTAAGCTAACTGGATCAGAACAATCTCCTAGCAATCTCCTTTGTATATTAATGCCACTGTTAGCTGTTTTTCATCTTGGGACAAAAGTGCACCGGCAACTGAATCCTTTGTATTCTACTTAATTAAGGAAAAGTCTTTTCAAATAATGATTAAACAATTTTTTTTTTAATTCCACTATTCACTTGCGATGTTTTTTCTTAACAGCGGCAATGGCAAACCTCCGAGTGTATTTCTGCCATGAAAAACAGCTTCTCATGAAAATACAATCGCCGTTCGGAGTCGGCGTAAAACTGTAGGTCCCTCCCCTTTGTGTGACAACATCAAGGCGCACGCCACAAATCGGAGGAGAAGCTCGGCCAAACACTAACATATGTGTAAGCGCCAATCTGTTATCTATTATTATTATTATTATTCACTTGCGGTTTTATTTATTTTGATTTGTTTCTGTCAAAGCAGCTGATTAAGAACTTCGAATTTCACTATTACGATCGGATAACAGCATACCAACTTTCGAATTTTCGGAACGGAGCTACGAATTCGTAACTACGAACTTTCGGATTACAGCATACGGGTGAACATCTAAGGCATCGAAAACCATATTTATTTTCCAATATCCAATAAATCCGGAAATATCAAATATCTATATATATAAAATTCAAATTATGTATGTACCTATAGACACACTTGGCTCCTAAACGAATAAGCCGATCGTAACCAAATTTTACACACGCACTGGATATCTTCCAGGGATGGTCACAGGGTAAAAAATATTTTGATATATAAAGGGGGCGTGGCCCCAAAACGTGGACCCGGGTAACCTTAGGATGTATTTGTTTAATATGGGTATCAAATTAAAGCTGTTCATGAGTGCTTTAAGATAGAGCAATTTTCATATAGCTGGGTGACTAGGGTCTCGAGA